TATATATATATATATATAAACACAGGGCTGAACAGAGAGAGTTGTCTCTGGGAAGGAGTGACTCAAGGCCCTCACGCAGCTGCCTCCACTGTCTCCACCCCTTACTCTGAGACAGGATCTTGCTACGTTGCCCAGGCTGCACTTGAATTTTCAATCCTCCTACTTCGGCCTTCCAGAGCACTGGGTTGCAGATAAGCACCGTCATGGCCAGGCAGGTAAGCAGATATTTCCCTTCTGCAAACATGCACGGTCCTTGCTTGCCATGTGCGGTGGCAGAAGAATACCCAATACCCCCCCACCCCCCACCCCCCATTTTGTAGTACTGTGGACCAGGGCTTGAACTCTGGTCCTTGTGCTTGCCAGGCAAGTGCTTATTCTACAGAGCTATTTCCCTGGACCTAGTACAGAGATTTCTTTTTCTTTTGTCTTTATTTTTTAATCTTTTTAGTGTTTTTAAGACAGGATCTCATCCATTCCAGGCTGCTCTTGAACTGGCTATATAGCCCAGGCTGCCCTTGAGTTTGGCACAATCCTGCCTCAGCCTCCCTAGTTCAGGGATTAACAGTGTGAGTCACCACACCAGGTATGGGAATTTTAAGAACAGAGCCCCAGATTCTGCTTCACAAATACTTTACACACCAAGAGCCATTCTTGGCTGCTAGTATATCTTTTCTGTTACTATAAATCTTGGCTTCAAAGTTCTGAAGGAATATGATAGCAATTCATATAAAATGTTTTTGATTTTTTTTTTTTTTTTAAAGAGCTGGAGATTGAACTCAGGCCCTTGAGCTTGCCAGGCAAGTGCTTATTCAACTGAGCTAGCTCCCCAGTCCCTATAAAATGGTTTTGAAATAAGATTTCCCTGTGAAATAATGCTCTCCATCAAATTACAAAGAAATTATCAAAATGTTGATCACATGAAGTCAGAAAAAAAAAGTGAGGCCTCCAGTTTCCTTCAGTGACTGCCTTGGAGGGCAGAGTATATGTCACCTCAAGCCTGAAGGCCAGGCAGGACATGCGTACTTGTAATCCCAGCACTGGTGAGGCTGAGCCAGGATAATCACTGTGAGTTCTAGGCCAGCCTGGTCTGCACAGAAGACCTTGTCTTAAAAAGACAAAAGGCCCCATCTGAGGAAACCTGGGCTCAACCTCCAGTACCAAAAACAAAAAGCCCTTGGCTTCCTGGGAGTTGTCTCCTCACACACAGAATTGAGGGAGTGGGTGTGTTGTGTTTTCTTTCTTTCTTTCTTTCTTTCTTTCTTTCTTTCTTTCTTTCTTTCTTTCTTTCTTTTTTTAAAACAGGGTCTCACTTGTGTAGTTTACATTGTTGATCCTTCTGTCTCAGCCTCCCAAGTGTTTGGATTATGGGTGTACCCTAGCATACCTGGCCTACAGGACTTTTAAAAAAAAAATGTATGTAGGGGGACATCCATGCAGGGGCAGTCTCCCTGGTGGCTGTGCCTGGGGATGCACCAAGCCCCCTTCTTACTGGACTGAGACATGAGGCTGAGCTGGGTCCTGACAGTATTGTCCATCTGCCTGAGTGACCTGGCCACAGCCACGGGGTCCAGGGCAAATGGAAGTTGCAGACTGGGGTCAAGAAGCAGGCGGACCACTGTCCTCTCAGATCGCACAAGGGAGACGTCTTACATGTGCACTGCACTGGACAGCTGGAAGATGGGACAGAGTTTGACAACAGCCTGCCCCAGAACCAGCCCTCTGTCCTCTCTCTTGGCACAGGCCAGGTCGTCAAGGGCTGGGACCAGGGGCTGTTGGGAATGTGTGAAGGGGAAAAGCGGAAGCTGTTGATCCCATCTGAACTGGGATATGGAGAGGGGGGAGCTGCCCCCAGAATCCCAGGTGGTGCAACCCTAGTGTTCGTGGTGGAGCTGCTCAAGATCGAATGCCAGTCAGAACTGTAGCCAGCTTAAGAGGGATGAAGGGGCCCGGGGAGATGGCCCAGTGGAATAAGCGCTTCCCTGGCAAGTGCAAGGGCCTGAGTTCAATCCCTGGTTCTG